TAGTAGTAAAGTTAATACTGCATAGGAATTATATTTTTACATGTATTTCTATTTTTGTTACTCTTTTAACCTGCTCTTTAAGAAGTCAAACAACTTTTCCTTCTTGCCAATTTTTTCTCACATAAAGGATACGTAGCACCTAAAGTTCAGAAACAGCAGTTGACCCTACATTACTCAAAAGATTATATAATACAGGAGACTGTAGATTTGAACCACCATTTTTATTTTTATCTATTTTTATCCTGCATTTGTTTTAATAAATAACTCAGCGCTTAAACATATCAAACACATCTTCCTATGTTCCTCATAACAACAACCCTGTGAGGAGAATTGGATGAGAGAGTGATTGGCCCAAGGTCACCCAGCTGATTTTCATGAACAAGACAGGATTAGAACTCACTAGACCAAACTGGTTCTCAAAAAAAGGGGAAGGAAAGGAGGGAGGCAGAGAATGAGGAGAGAAAGAGGGAGGGAAAGAGAGGGAGGAAGAGGGAGACTCATTCCAGCGTTTATCCGAAATTGGCTCGGCGTTCTGCAGCTGTAAACCAAACATACAGAAATTCGAAGGCTGATTTGATTATTAGAGCACGGAGGTTGCTTAGCCATACATTCTTTAGGTTCCCATCTTCTCCTGTTATACTACCGTAGCTCTTCTTACTTTTGATATTTGCATTTTGACCAACTACCTTTCCTGCTTTTTTTTTTAGTGCAACAAACAGCTCCAGGCTTGGGAAAGGAGAGTTGGGAGAATAAGCTACCTTTGCTCAGAAAACCTGCGGACAAAGTGTCAATTAACCCAGGTTCCGTCGCTGGAAAAGAGCACGCGAAATTATAGCTCTCCTCCCCTCAACCATGCCTCTCTCCCGCTGCCCTGCAACCCCACGGGACTGGTGGCGTGTCTTCCTCCACCTTCTAAGTAGTATAACACCCCCCCCAAGAAGGAAAAGAAAGAGCACCTCCCGCTTACTCACCTGATAGGCAACCTCAGCGAAGTCAACACCGACCCGGAAGTATCTCTGCATAAACTGGAAGCGATCCTCGTCGCTAGAAGGAAAATATTTACAGCCCCCGAGTGGAAAGTTAATCCCGAGGGGGGGGGTTAAAGGACGCGGATCCTTTTGCCTGATATTGATGATGATAGGAGGAGGAAGTGTGTGTTGCTAATACTTCGATCCTGTGGGTTCGTTCAGACTAGAGAATGCCAAAATTTCGAGCCCAATTCCAGTTCTCACTCACGTTGTTGTTAACGTACAAACTATGTTTTAGCAAGGGATCGTAGTATTTGAAGGAAACCCTCTTCCTGTCTACTCCTGGATCAGAATTCCATGCTCATGGTCGCTCACGCCTTGGTCACCTCCCGTGACCACAATATTGCCGGGCGCTCTATATGAGGCCACCCGTGAAAACCATTCAGAAATCTTTCTCAACGTTAGCCGCTTGAAGATGTGTGGACTTCATCTTCCAGAATTCCTCGACGAGCAAGCTAAGGGGGAGGATTCTGGGAGATGAAATCCATGCATCTTAGAGTTGCCGAAATTGAGAAAGAGATTCAGAACTTCAATTGGTTCATAAGACAGTAGAACAGCAAGTAATTATGGGGTTTGCCCTGATACATCTGTTAAGATCTAGGTCAGTGATGGCAAACCTTTTAGAGACTGAATGCCCAAATTGCAACCCAAAACCCACTTATGCATCTTCAAGTGCCGGGTGGGTGTGGCCCATTGGGTGGGCGTGGCCACAGTGGTAACGGCTGACTGGATGGTACTAAAAAGTTCAATCAATTCCATCTTTGCAAGATTTTTTTCCCCGCGAGAAGTTGAAATTGGCTGATTGAACATTTATTTATTTTTTTGCACATGGCAACGGAAGCCTAAAGCGAAAAGGTTTTCTAAAACCCAACTGAAGGCCTAGGACTGGGGCGACGGCGCGTGTGCCCAGAGAGGACTGAGTGCCGCCTCTGGCACCTATGCCATAGGTTCACCACCACTGACCTAGGTCTTCTCCCACGCATTAGGCATCAGTTGAGCAGGAGTCCCCCTTGAGGACCTTTTGTTGCGTGCTCGGTTGCCTTTTTATATACATTGTTTGTTGTATGGTTTTGTTTTTTTATTGTGTGTTTGTGCTGTATGCTTTCCAGAGTCATACATTTTGCACTGGGCAGCCTTATAGTATAAATCTTTAATAAATAAATGTTGCTATATGTAGTTATCACTACAGCAACTCTTGAAAACATGTCATTTTCAATCTGTTGCTTCCATTGAATGCCATGTGCTTTTTAGAGTGCCAAAAAAGAATTTAAGTAACCAAGAATATTGTATGTGTACAAAGTGAGATTCTACAATCTGCTAGGGCTGTGCGCAATTGCTCTTTGAGTGCTTCCTAATGTTTAATGTAAGCCTATCTTCCTGAATTCTACTGTATTGTTTCTTGTCAAAGCTAGATAGATCCTTTATCCTCCCTGTTCTTCTTTCTAACTTGTGAGTTAGAACTCCACAAGACGTTTATGCTCAGAACTGGCCTCTGCTGATCCAGAGCTAGATAACAGAGGGAGAGGGAGGGAGGGAGGGAAGGAAAGGAGAGAGAGAGAGAGAGATTTCAACATTTACACAGCTCACGTTTATGCTTTTTAGGCACATTGAATGGACTTAAACCTAGGTGACATTTCCTATGGATCATTTTGAGATAATAGAAACAACAACAGATCAAAACCCATCCTGCTCCAAAGATCTATAGCTATGGAGAAAAAGTTCCTTTTATTTACATTCCTTTTTTCTTGGTATCTGCAATCCCCCAAAGAAACTCTACTTGATCCAAAGAACTCAGTTCCTTATATTCAAAACCAAATGTTTTATTTATTACAGATATTCCTTGTTACCCATCTGACATTTAAAGTAACTAGCAATAAAATAAAAGAATACAATCAAATGCAAAACATAATCAGTAACTAGTTTTTGGAATTCTCCATTAATTCCCTAGCGGCCTAGCCTTACTCCCTAGCCTTAAAACAGTACTTATCACCACTTCTACATTCAGAATATTGTGTGCTCCATACTTCATATATTTGCTAGAAGATATTGATACTATGGCTTTTTGCACCTTATTTTTTAGTTGTGGCAGATGCTATGGGTACTTTATTACAGTATCTATATGAAAATGATTTATCTCCAGCTTTGCCTCATTATTGAAACAACTTAAGAGCCTCTCTTAAGAAAGCTTGCATGTCTTTGGAAGCTTTCTTAGCAATTACACAGGTGCTAGTGATAACCTGTCCCATCTCCATTATTGAAGCCACTCTGGCAATTTATGTAGGTTGTGGATGAAGACAGAAAACAGTACTTATCAAAAATCTATTTTTAAAAGCTGGGGAACATTGTAAATTACAAAACTGTACTTATATAGGAAACTACCTATTAAAGTAGAGTATTAAACAATGTATATTCTAATTACTGGTGCTCTTTGTATTTCTGACAAATTCATATTTGAAGTACCAGAGATTGATATGAGAAATTTAGCATGAAAAGTATACGTTTTATGACTAAGCTATAGCCCTTCTCCAAAAGTCTTGGATTAAGATGCTGATTATGCTTATTTAAACTAGATATATTCTAATTTTTTGAAGCCAGAAAAACGCTTTTAAGGTTCATTGTTATGTGTCTGCAGCTTCTTAAACCAAACATTTCTTTTTCTGAGATTGTACTTACAGAAGAAAAGGACAGCTACGTGATTACAGAAAAAGATGTATTGCATCTTTTTGCCTTCAAATAGAAGGGTTCCACGGCCTTACTACGGTACATATCCTTTGAAACGCATTTTTCACTTTGCTCCTCTTTGACCACAAGAGGGCACATCTGTACAGTAATGAAACCCAGAAATCATTAGAGATTAGACTTTATGATGTATATGAATCTGGATGGGTATAAATATAATTTTGTAACTCAAGAAGAACAAGGCACTGTGAAAGATTATAGTCTTTTCCAATAGATCAATTAGACCATGTAATTATCATATGCTCCATAATGAGAAGATAATGGGAATTGTGGACCTATATACCTAGAAGGCAGCTAGTGGAAACAGCTTGAGTTATTTCAAAATCCATGAAGAGGTAACATTGGTTCATCTCAAAGTTCTCTATAAACCAATCCCATGCGTGTGAAATGAGAACATTAGTTGAATCCCTTACTCTGCATTCCAAGCTGTTCTTATTCACTTTGGAAGGGCATTTGGAAGGATAATCCTAGCAGGATTATCCTACAAACCAACATATGAATGATCAGCAAACACTGGAATCAGTATGCATCTTTCCTTTTGTTATTATAGCTATAATATAAAGATAAAAAAACACATTTCTATATAGTTTTTTTTAGCTTGCTGACTTTTCATGACACTGAATTTTCAACAAAACTAATATGATTTTGCCTATAGAGGTCCTGCAGAAATCAAGACCAATTTCCTCTATAGGCACTTTCTCAGAAGAGCAAAACTGCACTGGTATCAGTTGTATAGAATGATCTACAGAAAGGAAGAAGGCTGAACAGGGATATAGAGGAGCCAAATACGGCTTTGTGATCATCTATACAAATCAATAGCACTCATTTCTGCTAATACAGTCAATGCACTTTTCAACTTAATTGGAACCATGCTGGAGTATTTGAATAACAAAGGCAGGTACCTCTAAGATGGCTCAGCAATTAAAGACACTGAGTTTTGTCAGCTGAAAAGCTCACTGCCCGGGTTCAAGACCCAAATGTCACACAAAAGGATTAGCTCCTATTACATGCTGCAGCTCCTGCCCACCTAGCCGTTCAAAAGCATGCAAATGCAGGTAGATAAATAGGTACCACTTTGGTGGGAAGGTAACAGCATTCTGTGCACTTCGGTGTATAGTCATGCCAGCCACATGACCATGGAAATGTCTTTGGACCACGCTGGCTCCCTCGGCTAAGAAACAAATATGAGCACCACCCCTAGAGTCTGACATGACTGGACAGGAGAAACCTTTACCTTTATCTTTACTCTAAGATCATATGCTGAATTTTTGCCAATAATTACAAAATATATTCAGTTATTACCCAATAGAAGTATTACTTCCATGATTTTGCGCATAGCCTGATGTATCTTTTTCTAAAAACTAGGCCTTTTCTCTCATATAGTTCCAATTCTATTTGGACATTGGGACATCTATTAAAAAAAACAGAGTGAGCTTTGACTAAGTAAACCAATACAAGTACAAAGCTAGAATCGATGATCCAAAAAGTTATACCAAGAAAGGAGTGTCTCCGTCACACTGGTATCAAGTGACTGTACTTCATGGCAGAGGGGTAATATTTAAGATATATTTTTGTAGCTATCTCTAGTGTATTGCCAATAGGTTTTGATGGATACTGTTTTTCATTGTAGATAAATCTCTTTTCTACTTTGATGACAGCTTGGTTAAATTGATCTTGGTGAAAAGGTGTTCCAGAATTGAGGCATTTCACCAAAGTGATAATGAAAAACTTCCAACGCATTCTGTAATAGTCTAGCATCAGCCCTGCTAATTGTTTGTTGGCATAGTCCAAAATGTTGCCATCAGGTCCCCAAAGAGTTAATTGGTTGCGTGCATTGAAGTCATACAACTGTTCCTCCTTTTTGCTGGTGGCCATTTTGTGGGCAGCTTCCAGCCATCCTCCCAGCAAAAAATGTCTGTCACTGGAGAGAAGAGTGTCCAGTTCGGGAAGAAGGTCATAGATTAGAACACCACCAGTAATCAGGAGTTGTGACAGAACACGTTCCTGAAAAGCCTGTTTGATTTCCAAGTAGTAATCACTCACTAGCTGTTGCAGAACCTGACGAACCACATCCACAAGGTCATAGCAGAAGGTGCTGCTGTTGCCCAGTTCACCAGAAGTATTTTGAAACAGCTGCCAGGCTTCATAGACATCACTCTTATTGTACCAGACCTCTGTGTTCATCCGAAAAGAAGGACGGTGGACAAGGGGGCTGTGGTTGTGATTTACACAAGGCCCCGAACAATTGTAGACACTCTGGAATAGCAGTTGCCAGGCCTTTATCACTTGCATGTTCTTGACACCATAGCGCTCTGTACTGTATGTGGCAACCCACTGTTGTAGATTTATTGGCTCCTTGAGCCAACCTAAATCTGTTATGAGTTCATATATCACATCATTTTGTTCAATACCTTCAGGGGTGAGGCCTATGCCAATCATAGTAGAGTTGAGAAAACGTCTGGCTTCAAAAGGGCCTTGGTTGATGCTCTCCACCATGCCAAAAAGGCCGTGGTTCCCACCAAAGTTGTGAAGCATGCACCAAATAAAAGGCTGCCCATAGAAGGACTCAGTCCAGAGGTAGACAGGCTTAGATTCAGCGAAGAGGTCCAGCACCAGCATCCTGCCTATAGGTACACCTCGAAGAAGGGCTTTAACTTGAGCAGGTTGCCAGAAGTCTCTCTGGTGTTGGAAAAGCCAACCTTGCATCAGCCACATGGCATGGGGGTCAACTATGAGGACAGGCACAATCAAAGAAAGGAAAAATACAAATTCAGAACCATTACTTTTATTCTGCGCTCTATCTATTTCTTATTCGGTTTATTTCTTGATAATAATAATAATATAGGTTCAGTTTCTTTCTGTTTACAAGCCTGTGATACTGTTAGCATACTGTATGCTTTCCATTTATTTACCTAAAATTATTTATATTTTCTGCCCTGGATTTCTCTTGGAAGAAAATGTTTCTGGTTCTAAGTTTTTTGTTACAGATCCGGCAATCACAGCAATAAAATTAATCATAACCTGAAAACCTATAGCTATAAATCTACTAGGTGTAAACAAAATATGCAATTAGTGTGGTGTAATGGATGGATTGAAGCTGATGAAACCTTGATTGAAATCTCTATTCAGCCAGATTACTGGATGACCTTGGACAAATCATATCTCTTCGTTAACTTTCTGAGATAGATATTAAAAAGAATACAAATATGAAATTCAATGAATACCCTAAATTCCATGATAGAAGGACTTTAAATTTAAATTTATATTTTAAAAAAGTACCCTAAATAAATTCTAAATTCCTTTGATCAGAGTTGATATGTTTTTTCATGCTGTACTTCATTTCTGACTCAAAATTATGCAGAATATCTCTGAGCAATATGTGAACATGTGAAGCTATCTTATTCCAAGGCAACAAAGTAGCAATTCTATATATACATAATTTAAAGAAAGGAAAAGATACAAAGTTCATAAAATCTCAGCAACAAGAAACAGAATAATGCCCACTTTTGAATAAATAATTATAAATCCCTACATGATTCATATTATAGATAGCTGGACAAAAACATTCACATGATGTATGTGTTTATTTGACATTCAGCAAGGAAAGGACCATCTTACCCCACATGGAAAGTTGCAATTAATCACCAAGGAAGGTGTGTCTGCTGCTAATGTGAGACAGGACCTTCTTTATAGCAGCACCCCAGGAGTGGAAAAAGCTTATAACTTTTAAGGAAACTGATTTTATTTCATCAGATTTTTAATAGTTTATTTGCAAACTTGGTTGGTAACCAAGTTAATGAAACTGATTGGGATATTTCTTATTATTATGAACTGCAAGTGAGCTCCTTATGGGAGAAAAGGTTATTTATAAATGTTTAAGTACATTATTAAAAAAAACCCCTCTGACTTTCCACAGCTTTTATGGATATTAATTCAGCATCTGAAATTTTGAAGAGGCTCTACTATTATCCTTGCAATATAAATTCCCATTTTATGACTCTGTAATCCCATAATTTGGTGGAGTTGGGGCAACTGGATGAAGCTGAGCACTCTTCCTGACACCATGCAGGAGACACAGCAGATATTTTTTCTTTGCACTCTAGGAGAAAAACATCTGCCACTATCTAGAATTGAACTCTCAACCTTCTGAGTGGGAGGCGAACCTGGCACTCTTACTATTATCTTTGCAATACACATGGCTAAATGAGCTAAAGATAATGTGTTAAAGGGCTAAAGATGAGCAGAGATAAAGAAAAAAAAATAGGACTAAAGATGAGCAGAGATAAGTAGGGAGGAAAAATAGGGAGAAAAAGAGGCCCTGTCACTTCATACCTCCATTCATGGAGCGGAAGACAGCAGCGCTGGCCTTGGAGAGGTAGGTGGTATTTGATGAAAGTGGGCGCATCTCATTGAAGGTGTCAGCACTGTATACATGATCTGTACCAAATTCTTTGATAAGCTCCTTTAAAAAGAGAGTCCCTATGACCTGAAACATGGGGTCTTCAGGTGATAAGAGGTAAGTACATGAATAGGTGCAATCAAAATGGCTCCAGTTCCCCAGTTGTGTGGCATTGACCTGTGGAAATACCCTAACATGGAAAAAAAAACGTTGTGAAACAGATTACAAAGTCAACTCCAAATTCACTGGGTGTGTGCTAAGTACTATGAGTTTCTACAGGAAGATTTGGACTTAAGCAAAGAGAATACTCAATGATTATTATGGCAGGAATCCAGAATATTAAAAAAAAATCAAAGCAAGAAATATATTCAAGATCACGGGGCTCTCCATTGACCTTTGGACCCAGATGTTAAGAGGTCTGATTAATAATAAAGGAAAATATATTCTGCTTGGGTTCAAAGCACTTCTCAGAATTATTACTTAAACACATTCTGAATTTTCCTCCAAGGAGTTTTGTCTTATTTTAGCACTGGCCTTCACATGAATACTCCCCAAAGTCCAACATCCTCTAGTCTAGGTCATCACTTTTTAGGCCACCCTGTCATTCATCCCTTGGAGAAAGACCAGTGTAACCACTCCTTGGTGGATAAGTACATCCTTTCCATAAAAAAGAGCCCTAAGTTTCCTTTCCAGGAAGTCTGAAAATCTTGGTGTCTGCTGCCAGTGAGTTTAGGCCAGGCTTTCCAAATGTATGCCTTCCAGCTTTATAAGGCCAATGTCCACACTGGCTAGGGACTGATGTAATTGTTTTTTTTTAAAAAAAGACCATAGATCAGCATTTGTTAACCTTGGCAACTTTAAAAAGTATGGACTTGCAGAATTCTGGAGTTGAACTCCACACATCTTAAAATTGCCAAGGTTGGGAAGCACTGAGGTTGACAACACTTGGTCAGATGGAAAACAGTCTATCCTGGTATGAGGCAGTTTCTTATATGCTCAACCCAACTCATTTTGTTCATTTACCTTAGAATGCCTTGAGGGACATGCCCAGAGAAGGCAGGAAGCACTGTCAACATACCCAGAGACCTCATTCTCTCTAGAATTCTGTACTGGGAAAGTAAAAGAGTCAGGATGGAGCAATGAAGCAAAGCCACAGAATAATCTACACTGTGCCCCACAACACCCATAAAATTGGTCCAGAAGAAGGCCCATTTCTGGAAAGAGCTGTGCATTCTGTGGGCCAATATGATATGAGATTTAAGACCTGATTTTCTGATAATTCCTGTTTTACTCAGAATTGTAGTGTGTAATAAAGGTGAGATACAAATAAATAAACGAACAAACAAAATAAATGAAAGAGAGCTAAAAGACTATTTAATTCACTCTATTCTTCATTGCCAGAATTTTCAATAATGTTGGCCTGCAATTCATTATAAAAGCTCCCATAACATCCTCAAAAAAGAGAAATAAATTGCAAATAACCCTGACTTATTAAATCAGCTGATAAACCTAGCATGCTGGTTAGGAACACACTTTTGATCAATTGTGATGCTTGACTGTCACAGACAAGTCATTATTTTCTATAATAACTGTGATGATACAATGCAGGACTCAATCCCCATGTAAGCCAATGTGAGTTTAGAGGAGAAAGAGTACGAGTGCTATATTACAAGTACCAAAAATGCTCATGAATCTATTTCACAAACTATAAGACTAGTTATGCTCAGTTTACCAGGATAATATTACTGCTAATTTTAGTATCTTTAATAAAAAGAATGAACATCCTTGTGTCTTTTAAAATAACACTAGGAAGGGCTCTCGCCAGACAAATGCAGGATTGTAATTTTCAGAAAGTCCAGGTGCTGTGCACTACCACATTTTTAATAATAATAATAATAATAATAATAATAATAATAATAATAATAATAATAATAATAATAATAATTTAATTTATATACCGCCCTTCTCCCGCAGGACTCAGGGCGGTGCACAGCATTATATCACTATGAACATCTCCTCCAATCTTTTCCTGAAACATAAGACTAAAAAACATAGGGTTAAATTACCTGGTTCATTTATTACTTAAAACTCGGTGGGGCAGATATAAAGCTAAGCTCAAATTTGTCTACTATAATTTACCACAAAAGGTATGAAGGAAAATATGACAGGAAGACAGAAGGCACCTACTGCCAGAAACCAATACTACACTTTCCATATCAGCCAGTCTAGGTACCTGCAAATTTAGCTTTTTCTGATGCCAGGAGAAGGGCAATGGTCCCGCCCAAGTGTGCAAATTCCCCATCCGGTTCCAAGCTAAGAAAGCAGGGCCAGTGAAGTACTCATCAATTTCTGATTGCTTTAGACCCAGCGACAAATACACCTATAAAAACAATAGTAGAGCTTGATAGTTGCTCTGGAGAAGATCCTGGGTTTAAATATTGTTAAAGCCACAATAATATGCTTAATAACACATACTCGTTGCCATATGGCTTCCTGCCCAGTGAATGCCAGTGCCATGTTAATTCCATGGAGAGCCATCCAGTCAATCTCCTGTTCCCAGCGGTCCCAGTTCCACCACACAAAGGAATAGCTGTAAGTGCAGACATTTTGATAGAAGCGGAACCTAAGGAGAAAAATACAATAAATGCATAAACAATAAATTCAATGTACTTAATGAAATTATTCTTCATACATTTTTAATCTTTAATTATAAAATTTCTATTCTATGTATCACACTTGCATGACTGTCATCATAATAGCAATAGCACTTAGACATATATACCGCTTCACAATGTTTTACAGCCGTCTCTAAGCGGTTTACAGAATCACATATTGCCCCCAATTTGGGTACTCATTTACCGACCTCGGAAGGATGGAAGGCTCAGTCAACTTTGAGCCGGTGAGAACTGAACTGCTAACAGTCAGCAGAATTAGCCTGCAATCTGCATTCTAACCATTGCGCCAACACGGAATAATAAATTCTCTCTTCTATCACATTAAAAATTATAATTTGGGAAGAATTGACTACAAGTAAATAATACCTAGCCAATCTTGATTGTGAAAAGTTTTCATAGCATCAGACACGGTTAGTATTTTGGCTTGAACTCACCAGGAAATCACAGGATTCTGAGCTACAACCATTTACGTAGTTTTGGCAAAAAAACAACAACAACATATGTATATAATCAAGAGGAGTCAAAATGAACCAACTCTTGGGAAAGTCATTCAATGTGTAGCTGGATCACATGAACCCTGGGGCTTCAGGACTGCCAATGATGGGAAAGTATGACTCAATGGATGGAAATCAGCCTGTACTTATTATCATTGTACTCTAGCCACATTTGATTTGCATGGTTTGGTAAGCCTAGCATTATCTGTGATAGTCTCTCTCAGCCAGCCAATTAGGGGCATCATGAACGAGGAGTGAACTGTTAGCTATTTCATGTTTTACAGGTAATCCTCGACTTACAACAGTTCATTTAATGACTGTTGGAAGTTACAATGGCACTGAAAAAAGTGACATGATCATTTTTCACTGACTATTGCAGCATCTCCATGGTCAAGTGATTTATATTCAGATGCTTGACAACTAGTTCATATTTATGACCATTGTAGTGTCCCAGGGTCATGTGACCATCTTTTGTGATCTTCTGAAAGCAGATTGGCGGATGGGGAAGTCAGATTCACTTAACAATCTTGTTACGAATTTAACAACTGCAATGATTCACTTAACAAATTTTTCAAGAAAATTCATAAAATGGGACAAAACTCAAAACAAAATTTTCACTTAGCAACATAAATTATGGGTTCAATTGTGGTCATAAGTCCTCATAAGTCAAGGACTATCTGTATTATACTTTGATCATCATAAAATGGAGGGCACCTTGAGATCTCTGAAATTAGTAAAGGAGAGTTAAGTGGCAATTTAACACATTCACACAAGCTTATCTCATGGATTCCTATCTGGCTCGGGACCGTTCATGCTTTGGTCACTTCCAATTGGATTACTGCAACATGCTCTACATGGGGCTGCCCTTGAAGACCACCCTAAGTTACAACTGGTGCAACTTGTTGCAGCTCTCACAACATTGGGCATATCTCAGTTTCCTCATGTTACAGCTTTGCTGCATGGGCTACACTGGCTACCAGTTTCTTTCGGAGATAATTCATGGTGCTATTCACTACCTTTACAGCCAGGCTATTAGCAGGACCACCCCTCCCTAAGGGTATTTGCCCATTCCACTAGATTAGATAAAGGGAGCGCTCTCTAAGTCCTTTCTCTTGAATGCTGCCACCCAGTGGACCTAGGAACCATGGCTTTTCCATAGTAAAATAAAAATGATGATAGTCCTCAACTTACAGCCACAAGTGAGTCCAAAATTTCCACTGCTAAGCAAAGCAGTTGTTCAGTGACTTCAGCCCCGTTTTATGATCTTTCTTTTGCCAGAGTTAAGCAAATCACTGCAGTTGTTAAGTGAATCATGCGGTGGTTAAGTGAATCTGGCTTCCCCTACTTTCTGCTTGTCAGAAAATAGCTGGAAAGGTTACAAGTGATGATCATATGACCTGGGGACAATGCCCAAATTTGGGTCACATGACTACGGGGATGCTGCAACAGTCGTAAGTGTAAAAACTGGTCAAAAGTCACTTTTTTCAGTGCCATTGTACCTTTGAATGGTCATAAATGAATGGCTGTAAGTTGAGGACTACCTGTATGACTTAAGTTCATTGCGAGATAACATTTCATACTGTACTTGAAAAATTATTTCAGCTCACTCTCAACTGGAGAAGGGCTTAACTCAGGGCTGTCAAACTGCCGGCCCGCAGGTGGACGGGTCACACCAAAACCGCACCCACCCCATTGCTGGCAATGGGAAAAAAGTCACGATACGTCGCAACATGTCACGTGATGTCGCGAGTTTACCTGTGGCCTAACTGAATTACATACTCAGAGACTGAGTGATCATTAATTGTGTGTGCTAAGGCAGTGCCTTCTATACTACAGGTAGTCCTCGATTTATGGCAATTGAGCTCAAAATTTCTATTGCTAAGCAAGATAATTGTTAAATGAGTTTTGCCCTATTTTATGACCTTTCTTGCCACAGTTAATTGAATCACTGCAGTTATTAAGTTAGTAACAAGGTTGTTAAGTGAATCTGCCTTCCCCAATGACTTTGCTTGTCAGGTTGCAAAAGATGGTGACATAATCTTGGGACACTGCAACAGTTAGAAATACATGCCAGTTGCCAAGCGTCCAAATTTTAATCACATGATCGTGGAGCAGTCAAAAGGGTGGAAAACAGTCATTATATCACTTTTTTCAGTGTTGTTGTAACTTCGGAACAGTCACTAAACATAGGGTTGTAAGTCAAGCACTATGTAAGTGAAGGACTACCTGTACAGGCTTGAGACTTGAAGAGAAAAACTTTGCCTTAAACAACTATTGGACAATAAAGCTGGGACAGACACAACTTTGGTGTCAAACATTCTGAGAATTTCATTTCAGCACCTAATGATTCAGGCTCAAAAGTTTCGGTCAATTGGCAGATTGGTGAATTTATCTGAAGCGGAACTCGGCTTTCCGGGCCCGCCTATAAAGACGCCTTCCCATATTTTCAAGAGGAAGCCGGATATAACTCCTGCTTCGCATATAGAGGTTAGGGGATCCTTTGCCTTCCTTCTCTTCCAATGTCGAATCACCTGTTGGGGCTGGTGACGATAATCTCTGCGGAGACAGGGGGCAAACTCTCCGGTAGTCGGAGCTGCGTCCCAGACCAGGACACGTGGCAGCCGCAGAAGTCCTTCAAGTAATGGTAGATCCCCGAGGCGGCGGCCACTCCGCTAGAGCCAGAGACATTTATCGTGCCCGGCGCCTCCGAGCTCAGCCGGTAGGTGTCGAGACCGTCAGGTTCGGCCAAAGACCGGTTCACGGATACATCGAAGGCAGAAGCTGCCTTCGAGCCCAGAAGCCGCTTCAAGAGTTCCCGCACCGCTGTTGCCTGACGAGCTTCTTCCGCCTCCGGCTGCAAACGAGCAATCGCCTCCCATTGCCACAAAGGCCGGGAATTAGCAGCGGCCGATATAGCCTCTACGGCCGACCAAAGCAACAGCAGCCACAACCGCGAATGAGCCATAGAAAGGGACTCTGACCGGAAGCTACAATGCAGAGAAGTTCCGGGGTACGATCTCGCTCTTGTGCGCGCGCGCCACGTCTCTACGACGATCACGGGAGCCGCTGCTGAGGTGGGGAAATCCCAGCCCCCCTTTGGTTCGCGCGCGTTCTGCAGTTCTCTCTGGTTAAACCCGATTCTGGGATGCGTTACGTAGAAGTAGAAAGAGGAGAGCACAATTTTCAATGGGAGCCATAGAAACGTAAAATCGAAAGTTATCCCAAAGTTAATTTAATTCTGCCCGCTACAGAAGGACAGAAAAGCCGATTAAACCATCCACGAGAAGTGGCTCTAGCCTGTTTTTTTAAAAAACTTCCTAAAATCGAAAATACGAAGTCTGAATTTAAATCAAGTTCTTGCTTCTGAATAACCAGAGTCTCGCTATCACATAGGCATCTAAGAATAAAGTATTATATAAACTATGTTTACTCAATATTTATACCCGGACGGTAGTTTGCTTGTTAAAGCATGGGATTATTGTTGGGGGTTACCCCATTATTGTACCTACCTTTACCCTATCCCGAATCCCTTATTCCCACCCCTTCCCATACCCGTACTGACCCTATCCTTTCCCTACCTGCATAAAATTTAATATTTATTTTTAAAAAACTGTTTTTAAATCAAGAGAATGACTCCTAAACATTCTTAGAATTGTTTTTCTTCAGTCATGAAAAATCTTGACAAAATGAAATTGGACATTAAGATGGCAAGTTTGGCACAAGCTCAGTGTTACACTTGCCCCCACTTCTCCCCTTTTTTCCTTCTGATTATTTTATTAGACAACTCCATAGCAATTTTTGCTTGAGACCTAAGCAAATATTCTGAAATATAGTCATGGAATTGCTGAAAGATGATGAAAAGATACATTCATAGAAAAGATTCCATTCCACAAGATGAAAAAGCTGATATGAACAACTGACAAGAATGCTTTGCCCTATACCACTTTCTGGTTGCATTGGGATGTATCTCTAGTAGTCTTTTCACCACCCAGTTATTTGAGTTCCTTTTCTCTCCCCATGGGTTAACTATTGTAGAATTTTAAGCTCCAGGTTCATGCAATGATAACAAAAGAACTAAAAAAAAGCTATTTATAAAGATAACAATACTGTAGAACATGTGAACTATGTAGAGAACTGTTCTTGTGAAGAGGCTGTTTCAACTGATCACTGGTTGTTCCATGAAGAGCTCAGGGTCATCCCTCTCCTTTAGGGCCAGGTGCTGCTAAATGTTTTTCAAACATAAGAAGTGAGAGACATCAAACAAGCAGCTGGATAATCCATAGCACCACCTCTTTCTAGCAATGGCAGTAGGTTCGGTGGTAGAAATTGCTTGACTGCGAAGCTTTAAATGGTGTTACTTTCGGTCTTTAGGAATTAATCTTAGTGTTATGTCTTTATCATGTACTCATGCACATAGGTATTGCTACATTCTGTGTTCAATGAACATAATGTTCTATATCACTCAACTAAAACAGTCTCCACCTATGGATATTCTTAGTGTAGAACATACTATAACCTATTGGTGTTCAATTTAAAACAAAAAATGAACACTTCAATCACAAGTTCTATTTTTATCAAAAAAGAAAGATTCATTTCTAATTCTATTTCAGATACACTTTAAAAACTCTATGTGGATAACACCATATCGGGTTTTTAAAAGCTTAGAGGGGGTAAACTACCAAAACAGACAAACTAACATCTCCAGTAATTAAGGACATAATTATTAGTGTGGAAATATACATAATAATCGTAAATACCTCATCTAAGCAGATAACAGAATCACGTTTTCTTCATATAAATGCAAATAATTTTAAGGACTTTTTGAATACTATATCCTATAATATATGAAAGGCAGAACAGGAAAAGTAGAACATAAAATGTTGGTTTAGAAAAATCCTTAACCACGAAAGCTCAATAGGTGTCAACCCAACAAGGTGACCAGACTATGAAACCAAAAGAATAGAAGAATAACAAAACTGAAAGGGACCTTGGAGGTCTTCTATCCCATCCCCTTGCGCAAGCAGGAGACTCATTTCAGACAAACAGCTGTCCAGTCTTTTTAAGTCTCCAGTGATGGAGCATCCACAACTTCTGAAGGCAAGTCGTTCCACTGATTTATTGTTCTCATTGACAGGAAATTTCTCCTTAGTTCTAGGTTGCTTTTCTACTTTGTTAGTTTCCAACCATTCTTGTCTTACTTTCTGTGCTTTGGAAAATAGGTTGACTCCTTCTTCTTTGTGGCAGCCCATCAAACATTGGAACACTGATATTATATCACCCCTAGTCCTTCTTTTCACTAGACCAGACATGTCCAAAGTCCGGCCCGCGGGCCATTTGCGGCCCGCGGCCCAGTTTAATCCGGCCCTCGAGCAGCCCTCCCTGCTCTATATAAATGCGGCCCTCCCACGGCCCTCCGGCAAGTCCCATGAGAGAGAGAGAGAGAGAGAGAGAGAGAGAGAGAGAGAGGCACTTGCACTTCTGTCTCTCTCTCTCTCTCTCTCTCTCTCTCATGGGACTTGCCCCCTCGCAGGGCTCATTGGCCCTGCGCCCTGTTACCCCGCCCCCAGCCGCAAGCCACCATTCGCCCTGTGGTTATAAGTGTCCCGGCAGTTGGGACCCGCCCCTCCCGGAAGTCAATCAATCCTTGGCGGTTCTCCGTCCGGCCGCGGCTTTCCCCGGCCGGCTCCAGCAGTTCCGGCTGATTGCCGGCACGTGGCTGTTTCTCCCTGGC